GGGACGCCAGTCAATCGCAGGGCCAACAGGGTGTTAGTGACTGTACATGTCAGAGTAACAGAGGTGATACTCACGAAGTCAGAGTAGTACTTTACAAATTAAGATTTTTTTTACACACAAACACATGAAAAGTTCAATTTCAGTGTTTAAAATCTAATGCTTTGTTATGAGTTAAACTCCCAACAGTTTATACAATTATTTTAATAACTTTTATTTATTAAAGGTTTTCTTGAACAATATAAATCCTCCACTCCAGACTCTACTACTAAAAATCTCTAATAAAGACAATCATTAGTTGCAGTCTGATACAAAATGAGTAAACTTACTGGGCTGCTGATCTTCCATTATAGGAGGACTGGTTGTTTCTATTAAAGGTAACAGGACACAAACCCTCTGCACACAGTTTGCTCCTCCAGTGACTTTAAAGTGAAAACTATCATCTGTTGAACAAACTGAAGCTCCTCTGCTGCCTCCTGCTGGCTGCTTCCTGTCACTGTCAGTCTGTTCGTCCCTCAGGACAAACTGGAGAGCTCCTCACAAAACATTCACATTAACACAACAGCTGCATTTACTACACTGCTGTACTCAAGTACTACACTCAGGTACTTGTACTTTACTTTCTACTTCACTACATTTATCTGACAGCTTTAGCTACTAGTTACTTTACAAATTAGGACTTTTACACACAAACACGAGTTCAAATTTAGTGTTTAAAATATGTTTCGTTGAGTTAAACTACCAACAGTTTATACAATTAATAAGTTTCCTTGTACATATACGCTACGTACGATATAAAGCCACCACACCAGACTCTACTGGTGAAAATCTCTGATACAAAATGAGCTTCAGCTCAACTACAGCAGCGGTAAAATCCTGTTTTTACATTAATGAGCCATTAAAATAACAGAAACTTCATATAATTAATATCTTTAATGTTAGAAAATCTAAGTTATGACATTAAACTTTCTACCGACTCGCTGCAAGTCCTCTTTGTAGACAGTCATGTAGTATTAGATGCATTCAGCAGCAGCTCGCTGTATCATAGACGCCATGATTTAGACAGCTGGTGGTTGAGAAATGGTTTCACGCAGCTTTGGTTAGAATTAAAGAGTGCTGGTAAAGGGATGATATATATGAGAATAATCTACATTGAAATAGGGTTAGGGTTGTGTTAAGTGAAATACACATGCTTATTCTCTCTCACTCTGTTTACATGTTCACTTTTTGAGACCCACATATATACCAGCTTTCAATATCGGCCTGTTATAAGTGCAGTTTATACAGTAAAGGGGTCCACTAACCAAATCATTCTCAAAATCGAAAATATCGGCTCATAAATCGCCTCTTTTTCACTTTAATATCGGCATCGGCCCCCAAAAACCCATATCGGTCGGGCTCTAATTATAGCATATTAAAAGTATATTGTTAATATAATCATAAACTGTTGATAATAATGTATTATTTATATGATGTTACTATATTCATTATAATTTCAGATAATAGTACATAATGATAGTATATCATAGCATCTTGCTCTTGTGTTTGAGTGACGGGGCTGTTGAAACGGTCAGCGGTCGGTCGGACAACGTGGAAGATTACGTTCGGTTGTAACTGTGACTCGCAAATCAGTTTTCTGGTTCGCAAGGATCTATTTTTAGGAACGTATGAGAGTGAAATGCTCGCACTGTCGATCCCTGGGCTTAACGTTACACCACACAGAAAAATCACACGTCATTACAACCTGCCTATCAAGTAATTTTGGCTATGCAATAGAAATATATACGTTCACACACACTTAGCATAGCAACTCTTTGTGCAAAAATAATTTTCACATTTACAAAAATATCTCCTGGACTTTTTGACATGTCAAAACCACTTTTCTGCAGGTGGTAAGCTATAAAAGCATCACAGTTCTCCTTAAAAAAAAAAAAGAGGAAATTAACTGTCAGGGTTTGGTATGGGTGAAGCAGGTAGTAGGTTGGCGGACCCAAATGCAGGACACGAAAGCCAGCAGGAACAGTTCAGAGGGGTTTTAATAAGCAAACAAAAGACGAGCACACTTACAAACAGAGTGGCTGATTGACTGAGTCCAAAAACAAAGGCTGTCCAACAGAAATCCAAAAGGGTGAAAACCAGAATCCAAAAATGAGTAGGGTAACAGGGAGACACGGCAAGTAAGGCTGAAGACACAAGCACAAACTGCAACACTGGGTGACAATAAACAATGACCCGACCAAGACAAGACAGAAACACCAGGTATATATACACACAGGGACTAACGAGCAGGGCGGGAGCAACACAGGTGAAAGACATGAGGCTAACGAGGCACAGGCAGGGAGAGAGAGAGTGTAGGGGAAAACAGAGACAGACATGCAGAGTGTGACATTAACATCATTAATAATTTCTTCTTGAACTGACAATGCTAGATGATTTTTCTCTCTACATTTTTCTCTTGACCTGTGGAGCTGCAGAGGGCCCTGATGGTTAATCACAACCTCTGTGATGTAGATTTAACAGAGAAAGCTATCCAACGTGTGTCTGATGTACCAGTCAACAATGTGAAGTATGCTGTCAGAGATGTATTTGTCATAGATGTACTGCATTCTGAGCGTATTCCATTGTTTTGGCAAATCAAGTACATCTTTAACATAAACACCATGTGGATCCTTTGTGGAAAAATGTTGATTCCTCTGCCCTATGACCATCACTTTCATGCATGCAGTGTCACAGTTGATGAAGAATGGACTTTACTGAAACCAGGAGATGAAATGGACTTTCAGGCAAATGACACTTACTCAAATGATGATCATTTATGTCACAGTTAGACATTGTGTTTAAAATGAAATGTTGTAATATGTGAAAATGAAAAGGATTTAATAAATTCTGATTTTAATTAAAAATATATAGACAGATATAGATTATAAATAATCTCATACGATTGTACCTGTCAAAGCCAATTTTGTCCCCTTTTTGAAGGGTCCATTTTTGTACTGTCAAATAAAGGTACAAAATTGCCACCACAGGTACAAGACTGGCCTCTTAAGGTACAAATCACAAGTGTACAAAAGCTGTGACAAGCCATTGTACCCCTAAAGGTACAAATATGTACTTTATTTTCTGAGAGTGGAATGAAGTCATTATATTTTAACAAAATCTACCCGCCCCACTGCTGTGCATTACCCTGCGATATTGCTCTGCTGATATGGTCGTAGGCTGCTAGCCCCTTTAGACCGTCTGACAGACAGAGTAACTGTCTGGGACTGTACTGGATGAGATGAGCTCACTGCTCTTCATCCGAGGTAGAAAACCTAAACTGAAAACACTTGTGATCAGACACATCTGTTTGCCGTGCAGATACACTGGGATTGCGCGTGCCGGTGTAAACATGAAGCAGATGGTCTCTTCCTGATTATAGAAGATGTGGCGAAAGAAAAAATAAATACAGACGAAGATTTTTTTTTTTTTGTATGCACTAATAAGGAGCTTGGACTGTTACTGAATGTAATATAGGAGTGTGGCGGCTGAAAACAGACTGGGAGTCGTTGCAAAGTAAATACGGCGACATGCACAGTACAAGTGTAGGCAGATAAGTGTTATTTGCACGGTAAATAATATTTTTGAGGGGCTATATGTACGTTTTTCAATGAAATTAATAAAATTTTCTTTGCCTTATTGTTAATGGGCTCAAAACTCACTTGTAAATGAAGCACACGCCTGTTTTCCCCTTTGCTTGCATCAGACAATATTCTGCTTTTAATGTGAGGTCTCCGGGTCAGATTCAGCCCTGTGCGCGCTCCTGATCCTCTCTCACACTACAGCGACAACACGGCAGCTAACGACACGAAGCCCACTAACACCATAAAACTACCGGCTCACAGCAAAACACCAGGCTCCAAGTAAGATATAAAACAACAATAAAGGTTTATGTGCTGAAGCCCATCAGACCAAACAGGTTCAGATGATGTCGAGTAAGAACAAAGTGAGCATTAGTAAAGCTGGAGAAAGTCACGTTAGCTCGCCAGCTAACGCCGAGCAGTTGCTTAAGTGATCCGGTGCAAAGTTATATAACGTTAGCTTTCCACATTACTTCACCAACTAACGTGACCCGTGTTACCATCCTGTGTACCACTGTTGATTTAGCCTGCAAGAAAAGATGTAACAGCAAAAAGCAAATGTGGAGCGATTTGTTTTCTAAAGGTAACTTAGCCTATAGTGATGCAGTCACCTAACGCTACAGCAGCTCGGACCTGCCGCTGTTTGCTTCGTAACGTTCAGTTTAGGTTTATTGTGACATTGCTGAGCCTCTGGTGACAGATTCACAGATATTAAAGATAGTTGCTTAAAGCAGCAGGCGAGCTAACGATGTAGCACGTCGGCTAAATGCAGTAATCACCGTGCCAATCCAAACCTAAAAAATACTTCAAATACTCTCGGAAAATGTCAATGCTAACATGCTGGTGTTTAGCAGGTATAATGTTTGTTGAGTTTTGTTAAAAATGTAGTTTTCATTCATTTTTCAAACTGTCTCAGACCCCACTCATGAACTTAAAAGAAACGTTCTTTTTTCTTCCACCCTGTCTGGGGCATATTTCAAACAGAAGGCGACAGCCGCTGCAATGCTTGCCTCCGTTTCTGCAGTCGTCCTCTGAATACTCTCTGTAAAGAATATTTGGTAATGTAATGTGATCATGTAACGAGCACGGATTAGTTCAACCTGCAGCTGATAAAACTGTTACTGTAACGTTTACCCGAGTTTCCAGCTCAGTCTATAGCAGCTGTCACTCCGCCTTTTTTTGGGAGGATTGTGCTGATATGCGGCTCGCTGCGCTGAATGAAGTAACGTTAGGGAGCCGGTGTTGATCTGACTCTGAGACGGGAACGTTGAAATAACAGAGCCTGAACGTGTCTGAGTGAAAAGCCACAGCCTGCATGCTGGTGTCCCTGCATTTATTGCAGGATTTCTGTATGAAAGTGGTTGTGTTTCAGATTCTGCTCGCTCATGAGTTCAAGCGAGCACTCGTACGAGCAAACACCTGGTTGCAATCTTAGAACTGCTAATTTTATGAATTTGATGCATTTAAAGCATCCACCACTGAGTAGTTAATGTATGATGAAACATGTAGTTAATTTGGAATTGTCTCTATATTGTCTGGAGTAATTTATGTTTTTAAGTTTGCTTTGTTTCAGGATGGCTTGGGTTAGGGCAGTGTGGCAAGAAAGGAAAAGGCAAGAAGAAGGGACGGTGCCAGACAGCTGGGTAGACACAGAAAAAATGTTACTGTTCTGGCCAAATATTGCAAATGCAGCAAGACATTTGAAGGAACGCCGCAAAACAGAGGGTTGGAGAAAGTTTCCTCTTCTGAAAGAGAAGATGAGATCTGGTGGGTACACTTACATGTCACATCTATTATGTGCCTTTTGTCATATGGCATATTGCTTTGCCTGTGTTAATTGTTACTTATTATTTGTAGATGACTTTAAAGTGATAACTGCGACTTCACAAGTAGTACAGAAGCTGAAGAAGGGGCACGACTGTTAATGGATTTTCATGAACTCTTCCCTTGTTGCCATGTTGACAGTGCAAGACTTTCAAAATTAACATAACCATTTAGCATGAATTTGTTTGGACTATGCTATCAAGAGTAAGCAATGTCAATTTTGGTGTCACCATAACAACAAGGCCACAATAAGGAACTAATGCCAGTTTGATATCTTGAAGTGACTTGGGTAGATTGATATTAAATTTGATAAGCATTCACACTCCTGTAGTAAAAACTGCACCTTTTTGATTTCTTTCTGGAGCAGAATGAATTTTTTGTTAATTTGCGTCTTGAACTAGATGATAGTGGTCACAGTGAGGAAGAGTTTGATGAAGAAGACGTCCAAGGAAATTGTTGACATCTCAACAGTGATGAAGGTTAGTTCTTTGTTTTCTCCCCTGTAACGGAGAGACTGCTTGTCATGAGGATATAAAAACAGCAACAAAAATAGTGACAAATTACCTACAGAATGTCAATTCAGATTGCTTTATTGGCATGAAAGCTTCAAGAACAATATGTACATATAAATACATATAAGACAAATACAATTTGTCCAATTTGTTTTGGCAGCACACAATAACAGTTAGGCTCATTAAGTGTTTTAGCAGCACTGTAGAAGGTGTGACAACCAGCCTGACAATATTTAAATATGTATTGAAGCAAAATACTTTTCTAAACCTAAATCTAAGACACGGAGTCTAGTTTATTTATCGGTAGGATTATTGAGAGGAACTTCAATAGTTACTAGGAATGGGGATCGTTAATTTTTCTTGATAGTGATGCCCTTATTGAGACTGCTTAACGGTCCGATTCTTTATCGATACCACCATCAATACTTTACTCTTATTTGGTGACGGTTATTTGGTAAGACCAGACCCAACGGACATGAGGTAGGCCTGCACGGTAGGAGGAAAATATTCAATTTAAATTATTTATAGGATTAATTAAATGTTTTAAATAAAAATTATATTGATTATATAATATATATATTAATTATATATATATTAAATTATAGGACCTGCTAGTCTCAATAGCAGTATCGATAAGCTGGGACCGTATTGATTTTCGGGTTTTGAGAAATTTCGGAACCGGGTCCTTCTAGAACTGGATCTCAATCCCCATCCCTAATAGTTACAAATAGTGAACAAACATCATCAAACGAAGGACATGTAAGCACACAAACACAGCAGAGTAAAAAACTAGCAAGTTATTTTAAATAGTTTTTACAAAGGAGAGAGTTGGGAAGCACAAAAGCGACTGTTTATCTCCAGGGCCGAAGTCAGTGCTAACTTCTTAGTCTTGAGAAGCTGCAGTCTTTGTTCACCGGCCTCTGTAACTTCTACTGCACATTTTCTGCTGAACAAGGTGCTGACCCGATTCTCTCTATTCACCGGGGCTCTGTTCACACACACTCCGTCTATTCACGTACACCACCTGGGATCATCAGTTACGCTCACTGAGCGGCAGGTAAGACGAGCAGCAGTATTAGTTTGAATCGGCTAAAACACAAACAACACATCTAAAATGGGAAAGATCTGGACCACTGGTTCTTTGGTAAGCAGTAAGGATCACTGTCGAGTCCGACTGCCTTTAATTTGAGCAAATAATCACTTGTTTTACTCCCGGTTTGCTAAACGCAGCCTTGGTAACAGATGTTTTGCCACTCAGTCCAACGCATACCCTCTACTGAACCTGTCGTTTATGTGGAACAGCAAAGCTAACGTTAGCCTACTCACCTGTCCAGCAGAAACAGAGCGACCTCAGCATCGGTTTCCATTCGTAGATTTATCCAGCATTGAAACCCCTCACAGATGTTAACACAGGTCTTCCCCTCGCCTGGTCATATAACTTGTCTCACAGTTCCTCAGACTTTTCCCTCTGTGGCTGTTTCTCAGTCATCTTCACAGCTAAAGTCCCGTAATAAGTCCAGCATGTTCGAATGTACCGCTGTTTGTTTACATTCTCTCTCCCACTGCTTTAAGTGCACATTAGAAGTTTTATGTGAGCTTTAGATTAATATTTTGGTGGTAGTCGAAAATTTTACGTTTTCCGATGACAAATATGTAATTTCACATCATATACACCAACGTTGGCTAGCGTTAGCTCCTGAAGTAGTATGTTAAGATTAGCTTTTTTTTTTCTACTTTGGATAACGTGAGCTACTCATAGACTGTATGAAACTACTGTGTGTTTGACTTTATTAAATGTTTTTTTGTGAAGAATTTAGCAAGGGCACAGGTCTGCATTTGTCTTAATTTGTTGACTATGACACTCAGGTTAGTTATATGTCCAAAAGAAGATGAAATAAAGATCTAAATCGTTCGGTGTAGCTTTTTCACACTTAAACAGTGTGCAAAGACTTGCTGGCTGTATGAATTTGTCTTAGTTGAATTGAAGTTTATGTAGCGTTACTACGACAGGGTTTCCATTTCTCTCCTGGAGAAAGTTAACCCATACATACAAATTTTGGGCGACCCAGCGAATGTTGCAACAAATGCATTTTCCACACCACCCGGAGTGAATTTGCATCTTTGACTTCGTGTGTAATCGAGACGCGTGAAACACTGGATTCGCTTTCAGTGTGAACTCACCATTATGCTTGCAGTTAAAGAGTGGTCACCGACTCCTAAAATGCAGTAGAAGGCTGAAAGAATTATTTATAATACACACACTACTATAAGGTGAAATAAACTACTATAAGGTGATTATCCAATCTTGTTTTGTGTTCTAGACTACAGGCTTTTGAGGTAAGAGGTATTTTGTGCAATTTATATATGCTACATGTTATATAACACGTGTTTTTGACAAAGAATTTTAAAACAAGTTCAACCAGTGAATTATTTGTAAATTTTAAAAATGTTCTTTTGTATTCACAGGTTATGGCAAACTTCAATATGAAGGGCGGGAAGGGCAAGCTTGCCTTCACGAAGCTCCGGCTCTTCACTGTTGTTACAGGTAAAAAGCATATATCCTCAGTGTTTTCTAGTGTCTATTTTGGGGAAAACCAGTAACCACAGTTGCCACCTATTAACAACCTGGTCGCTACCTGCAAGAAATGTCAGATTTTCATTGCACTAAATTGTTTTCTACTGTAAACATGCTGAATAGATGTCTTTTACATTTTTTGCTAACTTTAAAACAAAGAAATTTGTCATTAAAATGTCTGCATCTTAATGTTTTTACTGCTTACTGTATTCCATTATATTCTATATGCCCCAAAGATTTACAGTTTCAAATATTCTTTACAGAGAGTATTCAGAGGACGACTGCAGAAACGGAGGCATGCATTGCAGCGGCTGTCGCCTTCTGTTTGAAATATGCCCCAGACAGGGTGGAAGAAAAAAGAACGTTTCTTTTAAGTTCATGAGTGGGGTCTGAGACAGTTTGAAAAATGAATGAAAACTACATTTTTAACAAAACTCAACAAACATTATACCTGCTAAACACCAGCATGTTAGCATTGACATTTTCCGAGAGTATTTGAAGTATTTTTTAGGTTTGGATTGGCGTTCGGGCTGTGCTTCATTATCAACCACTAAACAATTTTGCTGTTGGCCTATATAAAATTGTGTATATTAATCACATTCATCAGTTAGGTTTCAGGTAGGAGATATGTAAATCTGTGTTTTATTTCTTTTTGTACTTAAAATCTCAATCATTCTCTGTTCCCTAGATGTCTCTCTGGGCACTCAAAGGAATTTGAGAAATTTGCTAAGCTGTGATTAACCTGAAACCCTCAAACTCACCCTCAGTTCTGTCCCAATTAAATATCTGTCCGTGTTGGCATTGAAAGGATATTCTATTCCAGTAAAAGGAAATCAAAACCACAAGTTTTACAATAAAGCGTTTATTTTCTTAACTCAATGAATGTCTTTGTCTCTGCTCGTGTCTTAAAATGTGGTTCTGTCTGACTTTTGATCTTGACATCTGTCTAACCATCATCCCAATTTCTCAATATGTAGATTTTTCATTTACAATAAAAACAAAGCTCCGTAAAAGTTTGATGTCATGCCAACAAAATCCAAACTAATTCTTAATTATTATTTTTTGTCCAATGTCTGTCCTACGTTTGTGGTTGATGTCAATCCAACATTAGGTTTTGACGTCAACACGATTTTTATTCTCAACTAAAATCGAACATCTGTCCAACGTTATAGGTCGATGTCAATCCAAAGTTGGGTTTTGACGTCAACACAATTTTCATTTCTGACTAAAATCTAACGTCTGTCATACTTTGAAAGTTGATGTCAATCCAACGTTGGTTTTGACGTCAACACAGCTTTCATTTCCATCAACAATCCAACGTCCATCTAACGTTGAAGGTTGATATCAATCCAACGTTAGATTTTAGTTCGGAATTAAAATCTTTTTGACGTCAAAATCCAACATCTGTTTGACGTTGGAGGTTGATATCAATCCAACGTTAGATTTTAGTTCCGAATTAAAATCTTTTTGACGTCAAAATCCAACATCTGTTTGACGTTGGAGGTTGATGTCAATCTAACGTTGGGTTTTGACGTTCATACGATTTTCATTTTCAACTAAAATGTAACGTCTGTCTGACGTTGTAGGTTGATGTCAACATGACTTTAATTTCCAACAACAATCCAACATCTGTTTGACGTTGTAGGTTGATGTCAATCCAGCATTTGATTTTCATTTCCAACTAAAATGAAATGTCTGTCCAACATTGGAAAAGCGGCGCTGTTTAGCAGCACTAGTGTCACGGGAAGCAGTCACTCTCTTGCAGTCGGTCATATGCACCAGCGCCAGTCACCCATGGAGCTCAGGTGATAGTGTCGATGAAGTAAAAAAAAAAAAACTCTTTAACTAATTTATAACTTATGTATTTCTTCTCCCTTTGTCGTCTATCTGTCTCTAACCCACTTTGCAATACATGTACGTGCACACGATCTACTAACCGTAGCTAGGCTATTTAGCAGCAACGCCCTGGAAGGCTCTCTCTCTCTCCTGGCCACAGTCAAGTCGTAGCGTCGGTCTTGGTGAAGCTCGGAGATGGACTGATCAGCGTTGCAGTGATAGTGCAGCTGACGTTATACACGGGGATAGGGAGTGAACGTGTTGTTCAAGTGAGAAAATTTGTAATTTTGAGCTCCAGGCACACCGGATGTTTTTGACAAAGTGCTGTGGAGCTTCCTCCGTTGGAGTTCTGTGTGCATCTGCGGGACTTCGTGTCGTGTTGAGAACGAGAGCCCCCCTCTAAATAAACTCCAAGCCCCACAGCCCTACAGCTTTTTATTCCCATACCAGATACATTTATGTAGGTATTTAGGCTACAATAAAAATGCCTATTTGTATCATTTATTCATCCTTTGATTTTACTATTGTATAGGATAAGTAAGCACACCTTGAGCAATGTAGACTCCAGAGTCAAATTCCTCGTGTGTTCACACATATCAGATGGCAAATAAAGCTGATAATGATATCAACCAAATACTGTTTCATTTTCACTTTCTAAGAGCACATTAGCTATTTTGCTCTAGAAATAAAACACAAAATGTTAACTCTGAACAAGAACAATTTTATTAACACAATTTAGGCTATATAACACAACATTCAGAACGTGTGTGGATGGGGGTTGGTAGCTTGTGTGAGTGAGTGAGGGAGAAAAGTGGGGGGAGTCACTGACGGGAGCTGCAAACAAATCTGCTATGATCCTTGCATATGTGTTTACCGCAGAGGTAACAAGTGGTGGCAATTTTCTTTTTTTGCTCCCCCGTGCAAAATCCCCACAGCTTCTTCCTCTTGGCGGCGGCGGCTGGTGTGCATGGCAGACGGGCTCTTCTGGCCATCAGTGGGCTGACCAGGCTCCTTCCAAGGTGTTCGAGAAACAGCCTCCGCTTGAAGGTCTTCCCGGAGTTCCAATGCCGGTCGACAGCGGTCCATACAACAAAGGCGTCGTATGCCGAGACATCCAGGAGGTTTTGGAACAGCGTAACCGGCCAACGGTTGGTTTTTCGCCTGCAGCTGTAGGTGCCGACAACCTGCAAATGATAAAACAAAGAAAAAATAATTAGCCTAGTCTACACTTTATATCAAGCAGATACATTCAGAAATAAAAAATAGCCTATGTTGCCTTCATGTAGCGTAACTAATGTGAAATTGCACATACCTTGTCGAGGTTGTCGACACCTCCCTCGCACCTGTTGTATGCCAGGATGATTGCCGGTTTCGACTGGTTTCCCTCGCTGATCTCTGGCCGGCGGTGCTTGGTGCTGAAGGAGCAAGACATTCTTCCCCCGCCTTGGAATGTACGACACCGCTGTGGCCGTGCGGGCGAAGGCGTGGATGGAGGAGTGCGTCGCTCGTCCCCTCACCTGCAGCAGTTGGGGAGGGAGCTCGGGCTTATTTTTTCTGACTGTGCCCACCAGGGCTATCTTGTTCTTGAGGAGCTCCTCCGCTGCTCCATAAGATATTAAAGAAATTGTCGCAGGTGACAACACAGCCCTGGAGCCCCTCTGTCATCTCCCGGAGGACCCTCTGCCCCTGTCCCACCTCTGCGGGACGTCCAGCCGGCCTCCCCGTATAGATTTGCATTCGGTAAGCATATGAAGTGGCTACATATTTAGCCGGCTTGCTTGGAATGTTTTGTCGAAAAACACATCGGCCTCTGAACGGCACCAGCTGCTCGTCTACACAGATATCTCTCCCTGGGTTGAAATTAACAGGCCCGAAGGCTGGTCCATTTCTCCCACAGTGTCCTGAAGGCTGCCGGCTCGTCACTTTTCAGACGCGCTCCTCTGGTCGTCTTATCATCAAAACGTATTTTGTCGCTGATGAGGCGGAAGTTCACATGGCGGCTTGGAAAATTATTCGCCCGGTCTCCTCTTCCCACAGGCTCCTCAGTGACTGGTTCTGCGAACGATATACTCCAGCAAGAAGCAGCAGCCCAATGTAGCCCCTTACATCTACCAGGTCCAGATCCATCCAGTCGTTCTGGGTCCGTCTCCCCTGGAGGTTGGTCATCTTCAATATTAGGTCCAGGATGTCGTCCGTAACAAACAGATCCATACTGGACTCCTAGGTGCTGCACCTGGCGATCGCGTACCTTGTGGGACCGGGGACCATACCGGTGGCTGCGGGGATGTAAGGCAGCATTTTGGCGTGGGAGGAAGACCTCATTATGCCACTCTTTGAAGGCCATAAGTCTTCCTCCTCTGTCTCCTGCGTCTCTTCCCATCTCTCAGGCGAAGAATCCTCCTCCTCCTCCATGTCCCCAATCACAACTCTCTCCTCAGACTTAGAAGAACTCATACATTAAATGAGTTCTTCCGAGTCTCTTCTAATTCATGTTCTGACAAATGGCTTTTAAGTTTGGGTATGTTTTAAGAGATTATTGTTGTCACGTGCCAGATTCCACAATCAGTTACAACACAAAGCTTTTCGACTTTGTCCTCAGCTTTCAGTCCTTTGGTGTCAAGATGAGCAGTAATCCTGATTATTTTAAATAAGACTATTTCAGTTTCGTACTTATTTAGCAAAGGACATTTTTAAGTCATCCAACTGTTATACTTTGGTCAACGGATTTATTCTGGTGGACGGCAGCTTTTGAATAAGGGGCAACATTTCTAAGTTGAACACCTCACTACTTTGAAATTAATAAAACATAAAAAAAACATGCACTGTTTAATTATCAGTTGTAATTAATTGTAAATCATTTGCGTAAATTTCGGAGCAATATGTAAAGAAGAATGAACATTGCTTTGGTCCTTCACTGGGCTGACTCTGGTACGTGTGTTGTGTAGTGTTGTCTAATGACACTGTGTTGCTTTGCAGTTGAATTGTAGATGACTTCAGGTCACTCCACTAATTTTGCATACCAACCTCTCTGGTTCTCTGTTTTACCAATTTCCTGATTGGGAAGACTTCAAGATTTGGATGGATATTGCACTCTGGAAAACAGTAATAGACATGTAAACATTGTCATCATACATCGTACAGAATAAGAGGAGGCAGTGTGATCCCTCATTGGATTGAGGAATCACTGTCACCTGGTTTGCATTAGTGTCTTGTTTATTCCCTTGAGAGAACAGTGGCTCAAGCCATCCAATTGGCTCGGACCACTTCAGTAGGACAGTGCCTGTATCTCTGTTACAGCTAATTACTGCTGTTGGAAGAAAGATGTACAGAAAGTATGCACACCTCTTGATAACCTCCTCTTCTTACCAAATATGTTCAATTGCTGGACCTAGAAGTAAGCTTGACAATGGTCACAATGACAATAAACAATCATTTTGTTTGCCAGCCAGACACACCAACATCTTTCTTTCAAGTCTTTCAAAATATGTTTTGATCATGTTCATGATAAGTCGGTGCCACTTTTCTAATATTAGGGGATTTTAATTTCACCACTTAAAGTACAGATGTATATTAAGAAAGCTAAATCACGCCACATCTAGTTCTGGAGCTGCAGCCTCCTCCTCTCCTCGCTCTGATGCTGCAGCCTCTTCTCTGTTTAAATGAATATGTTCGTGTTGTCTGCCTAACTCATTGATCCTTTATCTGACTGAGGTCTGGTTAGAATCTACTGTCCCGATCGTGGCTCTGAAATATCAGCAGCCTAACTGTGCTGTGTATTGATAAATACACGGCGCTGTCTGTGGTGCCAACGTAGCTTATAGATTTGTAATTGCTCCTTTTTCTCTCAGTCCCACTCTTCTGTCAGTATTGTCTTCAGTCTATAATCTTCTCTAGATTACATGCAATAATATAGTATAGCCATATACATAGTAAATATCAAATAGTGTCACCTTCATGGACAAAGTGACCATGAACACTATTTGTATCAACGTATCAACGTCCAGTTACAGAAGAGTGACAGAATCATAGACACACACTGCTGC